TTGTTTATGTTTAGAAGTCGTAATAGGATGAGTTCTACGTGATTCTTGCTTTTGATCCATTAATTGCCAACGTGGTGTCGTTAATTGCGTTTAAAAGTGTCTAAGCATGGTTTGGGGTTCCACAAGGGATCCCGGGACGAATTTTTGATAAAAGAGTCAGTGGGAGATAGGTGGGGGTAGGGGAACCCGCCACCTACCTGATGCCCGAAGATCACCGCCGGCCAGACCCCGGGCGATGATCTCCGGCGGGCAGCCGGCGGGTGACCCCCACCCACCGGCTACCCGCTGGTCCGTACCCACCCCGGGTCTTCGGCTTCCTCGTTTGATGTTCCCTATTCCCCCGTGGTGTCCTAACGGACCCCGTTTGTCTTGCTTGAGTCTAGTTTGATATTTCGGGTACCGTTCGTAGGATGAAAGAGTCTTAGTAATTGCATGCTGGTTGAATCGGTAACCCGTTGACCTAGGTGGAAGTGGTATGAACCCCTTAGGACTATTCTTAGTATGTGAATGATCACACGTAAGTTTATTTATATGTCTTCCCCTCCCAATCTGCCACTACGTGCTACTATGTGATGCATGATCCCCCAATTTGGTTGCGATCAAATTGGGCGTTCCTGAGCTGCGATTCGGAAGTTGGCTGAAGGCCGAATTGATGGTTCCTGAGCTGAGGTTCAGAAGTTGGCTGAAGGCCAAATTGATTGACTATGAGCTGCGGTTCATCCTCCTGGCTGCGGTCAGTGATTCACTTCTTGGGCTACGGTCCACATGGGCCTCGAGTATGATGACCCACCGAACTGGACGCGCCAGGCGGTGTGTAGGGCCAATAAACCCGAGGAAGGCTGTAGTCCACCGACCTGAGTAATCAGGCGGTGTGTAGGGCTACGGCTGGCTGCGATCCACCGAGTGATGGGCCAGCGGTGTGTAGGGTCGTAGTCTCCGAGGATCTTCGCCCACCGACTGAGTACCTCAGCGGTGTGTAGGGCTTGATCCGCTACGGTCCACCGATTGTGCCCGTCAACGGTGTGTAAGGTCGTATGTCCCCCCTTGTAAAGGGGATCACAGTCCACCGACTGGGCGTGTCAGCGGTGTGTAGGATTGTGGTCCGACGTTGAGTTCGTCAACGGTCTTTAAAGGGTTGGTTGCGATCCCCTTCATGCTGCGGTATGAGGTAGGGTGCTACGGGGCCGTGTTAATGCTATATGCATTAACCCTCATGTTCGGAGCATGCGATTGGTCCCGTGGCGCCACCAATGCTTATGTGATATGAATGATGATGATGTGATTGAATTGAAAAGTGATTTGTGACCTTATATGCATATTCCTTATGATGTTAACTCTACTTAACTGTTATCATTGATTAATGTGCTTGTCCCTATTTGCTGAGTCTATTCCTGGTTTTAAAGCTAGAGTCTCTTAAGTATATATCTTCCTGCTTCGAAATAGTTTTCATATATATATATATATATATATATATATATATATATATATATATATATATATATATATATATATATATATATATGTCTATCTATATTGTATTTCAACGCGTTGGAGTGGGTTGCCAGCATCATTCGCTGAACAGATATATTTGGCTTTCAGGCACAGATGAGTAGACATGGGAGCGCGCTAGAGATCCGGAACGTAGAATAGTTAGTTTCTCTTTCGGCCTGCGTGCCATGATTATGTATTGACATTGCTTTGAGGATATTTAGTTAGTTAGCCTGTGTATCTGAGTTCTCCAGCTCAGATGTGGCATAGCACCCCGTACTCTTATGTTTGATTTTGGGATTTAATGAGAATTCACCTTTGTTATATAAGTTTTAAAAGTTTCAAAATTTCGGGGTGTTACATAAGGCTTCACAGAGACAAATTTAAAGAGGAATCCATGGGGTTATACCTCTTGTAGCCTCTTCTTCTTGCTTGGATTTCAGCCCCACTTAACTCAAGGATCTCTACTTCTTTCACCACCTAAACATCTCAAACAACCACACAAGGCATAAGTCTTAAACCTTAAGAAGATATGGTATAGCAGAGAAACTTAAAGAAGGAGGAAATGAATGGAGAAAGAAGCTTACTACTATGGTGTTGGCAGCCAAGGAAGAGATCAGGAGAAAATGAGGCTAACACTATTCTATTTATAAGGGTTCAAAACCCTAGGATGATTCACAATGATTGGTTGGGGGTAAAGGGGTAATTTCATAAGCTAAAAGATGAATCAGGATGAGATTTTTGGGTGTCTAGTGGTCCACCATGCAACATGAACCATAGGCTAGAAATGCTATCTTTAAATACTTTGGCGTTGAAAGTGAATTTTCTCAAAAGCTATTTGGATGAACACTTGTTTAAAATCCTTTTTGAATTCTCCCGGTCTTACTCAGATAAATTTCTCGATTTAAATCTTGGTACGCGAAGTACCCGAAAACTTAGAAATTTTCGAATAGAATCCATTTTTGGTGTCGAATTAATTTAAAATGTGACTAAAATAATTTTATTCAAACACCAATTGATCACAAAAATTGTTAATGGAGCGAAAATGACTATTTTGAAATTTCTTAATACCGAATTTATAAAATAAAATTTTGGGTTGTTACAGAGACGGTGTTATATTCATCGTGTTTGTGTTGATGGTTGGACTGGCTGCTGTATTGTCAACTGGCGTTGTTCGATTACTCAGGGAAGGCTAGGCTGTCGTCGTCGCCATTGTAGCATGACCTGAAGCTCCTAAACTCACAGCTTTGATACCATGTTGCGAAGCTCAGAGAAGATAAGACGAAAGGAAGAAAGAACAAAATATTTCTGATTGATTGTGAAGCAGTTACATTTGAGTCTTTTATACAGTAGGAAGAAAAGGGAAAGAAAGGTGGGAAAAGTTGGTACAACAGAAATAACTTCCAACCTTCCATAAACTGCCAAAGCGCTGAGATAATGACAAGTGTCATTCAACATGTGCTCTTAAATTGTTACCATAAACCCTTGAAAAAGAGTCAAATGCACCCCTAAACTTTATATTAGAAGTCAATTAGGCCCCTGAACTTTTCAAAGTTGCAATTAAGTCTATGAACTTGTTATTTTCATACACTTAGACCTAACAACAGGTTAATTACCTGTAATAGCAGGTAAATTACTAATATGACATTTTTTAATTAAATAATAATAAATAATAAATTTAAAAATTTAAAAAAAAATAAATAAAATAAAAAGATGGCAGCCATAGCCGAGAGACATCTTCTGTATTTTTTTTTTTATTTTTTTAAAAAAATTAAAATAGTTCCCCTTCACCGTCTTCGCCGGAGACAAAGGAGGAGGCAAGAAGAGGATGGCAGCAGCCATGGCCGACCGTCGGCCATGGCTGCCAACCTCGGTATTTTTTTTTCAAATAATTTCCCCAAGCAAGAAGAAGATGACAGCCCTGGCTGCAATCCTCTTCGGCTGCAATCCTCTTCTTGCCTCCTTCTTTGTCTCTGCTAAAGACGAAGAAGGGGGAACTATTCTTTTTTACAAAAGAAAAAAAAAATAAAAATACAGAGGATGACAACCATGGTCGACGGCCAGCCATAGCCGCCATCTTGTTCTTGCCTCCTTCTTAGTCTCCAGTGGAGACCAAGAAGGGGGGAAGTATTTCTTTTAAAAAATACAAATACAGAGGATGGCATGTTAGACTAAAATATCACATGCATCAAAGAATATGTGATCATAGGATCGACTAACCTCCCGCCATAGTTTCTGTTACGGTTGAGCGATCCGGACTGCTGCAGAGATAATGAGTATTTTGTCTCTCACTTTACTCAGCTCTCTCTAGATGGTGTATGAGGTATGTAATGTGAGTAGTGAGAGGACTAGTGACCTTATATAACCACTGGCCATCATTGTGGTTGATTGTCTTTAGGTCTCCTAAACCCTAACCAGACTCCTAATCGTAATGGTAGTCTAGCTATTAGGTTATTAGTGTTGCACCACATATTAAATACTGAATATTATCATAACTTATCCTAATGTTATAATAATAGTAACGGATAAACGTTACATGGCAGCCATAGCGGCAATCCTCTTCTTGCCACCATCTTCGTCTCCAGACGAAGAAGGGGAACTATTCTTTTTTCAAAAGAAAAATAAAATAAAATTACAGAGGATGGCAGCCATCCTCTTCTTGCCTCCTTCTTCGTCTTCACTAGAGACGAAGAAGTGGAAGTTTCTTCTTTTTTTAAAAAAAATAAAAATAAAAATACAAAAGATGGAACGGCCATGGCTGCCATCTTTTTAATTTTTTAATATATTTTTTAAATTTTTATATTTATTATTTATTATTTATTATTTATTATTTATTATTATTTAATTAAAAAATGCCATATTAGTAATTTACCTCCTATTACAGGTAATTAACCTGTTGTTGGGCCTAAGTGCATGAAAATAACAAGTTGATAGACTTAATTGCAACTTTAAAAAGTTCAGGAGCTTAATTGACTTCTAGTATAATGTTCTGGAGTGTATTTGACCATTTTCCCTAAACTCTTAAATTGGCTCTTTTGTATGATTTCCGGGGCTTTGCTGTTTCGAGATTTATTCGTTCATAATAAATCTTTATACTTTGCATAAAAAAAAAAAAAAAAAAAAAAAAAAAAAAAAAGATAATAAACTAGTTTAGATATAAAAATATTTTTTAAAAATAATTGAGATGATTTTTCATAAAATATAATAAATTGAAAAGACAACAGTAATAGATAATTGCATTATTAATATGTCAAAAAAAAAAAGATAATTGCATTATTAAAGTTGTCAACTTTATATATTAATTAATACTGATAATGGGAAAGGAATTGTTTAGTTATTATTTGAAAAGACAACAGGAATATATAATTGCATTATTAAAGTTGCCAATATTAATTAATAATGTATAATGGGAAAGGAATTGTTTAATTATGAGGTTGATATGGAAATGATGTGTAAGGCAGGGCAGAGCAGGGTTAGACCACTTTAATTTCAGATGATTGATAAACTTTGAAAGATTCTCTCCCCTTTTTTTTTTTTTTTGGTTATTAATGAAATCACAATAAAAACATATATGCCAGCAAGCTAATTTAAGCTCTTCTCAGATCTAGTTTTCAGTGTGCAATACCAAAACTTGAAACTACATACATACTCTTACTATCCAGCAAATTAAATTAAAGATTGGAATTGAGAGATAGATCATAGATGGCTTGTGTTGCTTTAACTTCTCTCATTAAAACCATTGAGATTGAGTTTCTTGGGCAAACAGCAAGAGTAAGCCTGTCTCTCCATCATCATCATCATGATCATGATCCAGCAGGAATCATCAACTCTTTCCTTGAAAACCTTTCTACTTTGCAACACCATGTGGAAGATCTCCAGAAGGAATCCAATGGTGATGGTGATGCAGTATTCAAAGTGAGAGATTTAGAAATGGAAATCAGAGAGTTTGCACTCAAAGCTGAAGACGACATTGAACTACACCTTAGCAACTTCCTTGAACATGGAGGAGAGTATGGAGAAAAAGCTGCAGCTTGCCATCAAACTTTGCAAGAAGCTGCAAAATATGCAACAGAGTTGTTGGAGTCATCAAAAACGGTGTTGGGTAGTGCTAGTATTGCTTTAACTATTCTCATCAACAAAATTGCGCATTACATCCCAACAGTGAATGGTTTTGATCATGAAACAGCAATGACAATGGTATATTTCAAACTACAGCTTTCTAAACTGCAAGACTGCTTATTGCAGGAGAGGAATTCCAATAATTCTGGTGCTGAAATCAAAATATTGGAAACCAAAATCACAAACTTCGCACTCAAAACTGAAGATCACCTCCTAATACAACTAAATAACTTCGTACATCAAAAAAAAGCTTACCCGGAACTCCATTACGCCTGGCAAGAAGCAGAAGAAAGCCTAGAAGAACTGTTGAACATAATCAAAAGTAGAAGCAGCAATGAAGTTGATGATGATGATGATGAGGCAAATCAAACTCAACCATCGAATATTGCTTGGTCAAAACATGCTAGCTCTGCGAATGTTGAGTCTGATGGATCCACCTCGCATGGATTCCTAAAGCCTGAGGGCAGAATGGTTGGCCGTCACAATGATTGTAGAGACATAAAGGAAGGTATCCTTTGTCCCCCTTTTTTCAAACCAGCTGCTACAATCTCTTCTCTCATACCAGGTATAATCTCAATTGTTGGAATGGTGGGTATTGGAAAGACGACTGTAGCAAGAAATGTGTATGAAGATCCATCACTTGCATCCTATTTCCATGTAAGAGCTTGGGTTACTCTACCCCATCATCCTCAACACTACAATAAGACCAGAATGCTAAGCCAACTTCTTCACTCAATTACACCAGTGGAAGAGCCAAATGTAATTAAAAAGGGAAGCACTCCTCATGAACTAGAAATGCAGGTACGCAAATGCTTTGCTGGTAAGAAGTATCTAATTGTTTTGGACAACATTATGAGCAAACAAACTTGGGAGCTAGCTTGGATTGACATCATAGGGTGTGTTTCTAATGGATTAGTTGGAAGTTACATATTACTAACCACTAGAGATTGCTTCAACCTAGATGTCCACATGATAAGACCTATCCGTATCCATAAGATGACTTTGCTAGATCCAAAAGAAAGTTGGGAACTATTTTGTAATACCCTTTCTATTGATGAAGAGAACTTGGCCCCTAAATTTGAAAAAATTAGGAACCATGTTGTGGAGAAATGTGATGGATTACCCCAGTTAATTGTTGAAGTTACCAGGCGTTTATCTAAATGCAACAACATACAACAAGGGTGGAAAAAGATTGAAAAAGAATTAGAGTCATTGGGACTTCTAGATCACAATTCACTCAGTGTTAGTTACAATATGTTGCCACATCATTTGAAAGTTTGCTTTCTATACTTTGGAGTCTTCCCAAAACGTAAAAAAATTATGGTTAAAATGCTTATAAGGTTGTGGATTGCCGAGGGATTTGTGAAGCCATTGAAACATAATGAGTTAGAAGATAAAGCTTATGAGTACTTACTAGAGCTTACTGAGAGAAGTCTTCTCTTAATTGAAGATCGAAGTTGTAACGGCAAAATAAAGACTTGTAGAATGCACAGTGCGTTACATAGCTTCTGCGTAGGAGAAGCTCAAAAAGGGGGTATTTTATGTGCAGTAAATACTCAGCAACATTCAGGATTACCATTAAAAGCATTTACAAATTCTTGTCGTTGGCTAAGTTCTTACACACACAGGTTTGACTATTATGTCCTCTTTGGTACGAACATCCCTCGCTCCATTTTCTTCTTTCTTGAAAATCATGAAATATTTGTTCCTCCCAAGCTGTTAAGAGTTTTGGCTTTTGATACTTGTATATCACTTCAAAGAGTGCCAGTGCAATTAGGAGGTTTAGTTTTTCTGAGATACCTATCCATAACACAATGGTTTGAGGATCTAGATGATGTAGTGTCAAATAATCCAAATTTAGAGACACTTGTTGTTTCTGGTAATGGAGCACCAACAATCCATTTGCCATCTAGTATTTGGAAGCCACCAAACTTAAGGCATCTCGAACTTGGCAATTCATATATTGTAGATCCTCCAAGTGCAGACAAAAAGAATTTACAAACATTATCTTGGGTGGTGAGACCAATTCATTGCAGAAAAAAGGTGTACAGCAAGTTCCCTAACATAAAAAAGCTGAAAATATTGCTGAAGGATGACATAGAGCCCCCTAGTCACATTGGAGGATGTTGCAGCAATAATCCTATTATTTTGGATCATTTTGACTGTTTGGAAGGGCTTGAGAAGCTTAGCATTTCGATTTCCATTGGCTGTAATGCAGCCCTCCCTGAACAGTGTATGTATCCTTCAATACTGAAGAAGTTGAAGTTGAGTGGGACTAATATTTCTGAGCGGGATTTAAATGCAATTGCCAAGTTACCCCATCTTAAGGTGCTCAAGTTGGAAAATGCTTTCCATGGAACAGTATGGAAATCACTATATAATAAAGGAAAACTTCCAGTACTAAGATTCTTGCTCCTTGAAGCTAAAGAACTCAAGCAGTGGGTAGTTGGCCCGAAGCACTTTCAGATGCTCGAACACTTGGTCTTAAGATCCTGTAATTGTTTGGAACAGATCCCGGAGCATTTTGGAGAAATGCGGTGGTTGGAGTCAATTAGGTTGGAGGGGTGGCACTCTTCCCTTGTCGCTTCTGCCAAACAGTTACAACAGAAGAGAAGATTCATGGATGTTAGTGTTAGAAGCTAAATCATGTTTTTTTTTATTCAATGCTGACATTCTTTACAAAATCAGTTAGTATTTCTTTTTTTCTGATCTCACTTGTTTTTGTGCATTAGTTTTTCACAGATCAAAATCATTGGCGCCATATACGATGACTCACAGAATACACATACAGAATTGTCTATGTAAGAAGACTTGGGCGGCCAGCCTCATAGTAAATAACTGTTGGAGAACGGTATGTGTTATGTTACCTGTGTCTTGAATTGCTCCTATATTTTTATTTGCATGCCAAATACAGTACATATAGTTGCATATACAAAAAATAAATTCATTTTATTGGTTAAGATTTAATGATTCCTCATTAATGGAATTAAGAAATCTGCAGATGGAGTATATATCCAGAAGTTGGTCTTGAAAGATGGGCTGAAGAGCTTTGTGTTAAAAAGACGGTGGATAACTTTTTATTAGCAAACATTATATTGTGAAGGAGAAGAAGATCGATGTATGTTGGTCATTAAAGATCTACTACTACTTCATGAGAAGGTATTTCATCTCATCTGGTGCCTATATGTGATGATCTTACTACTTAAATTTACATCTCTATTTCTTTTCTCTACCTCTCGCAATATAATTAATCCTGAGTACTAATGTGCTTTTGCAGATTGGTATGTCAATTGAATTCCTTTTTGAAAAAAATTTCAAGCTGGGAAACTGCTAGTAGTTAAGTATTGAAGGATGGATGTGTTTTGTTTCAACTATTGTTTTTATATATTTTGTTCAACAGTTGTGCCTCTCACTAATTGGTATTGATGATTTGCAAGGCTTATTATAATTCTAACAAATTCTTCATGAGATTTGATTATATTTATATCCATTTTAGGCATTCTGTAAGGCATTAAATTAAATGAAAGATTTTGCAGTAATCCTGTAGTCAATCTTGAGGTGATTTTATTTTAAGCTACTGATCGAATGCTCTAGACTACAGATGCATTGTATTCTTGAAATTTCTTTCACAACCTGCAAAATTTGTATTCTTCAAAATTTTAACAGAAATTAAAGAATATTAGATTGATGTCGGCATTTTATTTTAACTTCACAACTATTGAACTAGTAATTACTATTTCTGCTAGACATTCAATTTGCCAACAACTAACTGTTTGAAATAAAAAATGAACAAGTTTAGAATCACAGTATGAAATTATCCTACAAAACTTACACCTCTACATACACTTGCTGTCTAACAACTTTGTTTCTGTGATGATGATGTGTTTGATGCATTCTTTTTCTGATTTGATCTCATTTTGTTTTCTCTGTTTTGCATGCACTATTTTTTCTTAGATCAAAATCCCTGAATGCAATGAATCACAAATAGAAGAGTCTGTACAAGACAACTTGGTCGGGCTCGTAGTGAACTAACAGTTAGTTTAAAATGGTATGTATGTGTGAGGTTGCATGTGTCTTTGTATCTGCACTTACATTTGCACGCGAGATGAAATGAAATGGTGTTGCTATCTTGTACAGATAATTGAAGGTTACAAATGAATTGGTTCCTCTGACTTCATCAACTGATTGATCTTTAATTCAAAATTGATGATCGAGGTTAGAGGCTATATACATCATATCATGCTTCATTCTTAATATTTTATTTTCTTTAGAAAAGCAAGCAGTTACTATTTCTTTTTTTCTGATCTCATTTCCTTGTAAATATATATATCTAGAGTGGAGAGGGGTATAGGAAAAGATTGGCACAATTATATTCTACGAAATTTGTCGAAGCTAGCAAAATTGAAAAGGTTTTCCAGCTAGCAACTTGAAGAAAAATAAATATACTGAAATTTCTTTCTTTTAGTTTGATAAGATGAATGTGGGGATCGGATCTGTTACATACAGGTTAAGATATGCATGTTAGAAGGAAGTTGAGTTTTTAAGCATATCTAGCTAGCTAGCTAGCTTCTTCTTGCAGCTGGCTTGGCTGCAAAACTAGGAGAGGAGGTTGATTTCCATCTCCTCTGTAATGTATTAGCTAGCTAGGGATGCTTTGTATACGTGAATTAGGGATGCTTTGTTTCTGGTTGAATGCAACCTAACCTCATATTTTCTTTCTCACAAAAGGTGAAATTCCTCACTTCAAGGTCACAGCATGCAACTCAATGGCCTCTTATTTAGGTGGGAATTGAATACCAGTGTCAATCTGGTGCTCACTAAGAGGCCACCATATTTAGTGTATAGTAATTCTTATACTGCGGATGTCAAGTTTCAATCCTGCATTCTTGTTTACCTTGGAGTGAATTGAAAAAAATCAAATTGGGAAGGCACTGACGGAGATTTTAATAAGCTAAAATTCTTGTTCCTTGATGGTTGGAAATTTCATGAATTGAAGAGGAACAATTTTCTTGTTGTCTTGAGCATTTAGTCCTTAAAAGATGTCCGAGTTTCCAAGTAGATTTGAAGATTTCATCCAGTGTAGTCATTTAGTCAATTGAGTTAAAAACTTGATCCCCTTCTGTTTTCACTTCGGCCAATAAAATTAATGATATGATGCTCCACAGAAAATTTATGTGCCCCATTGCAATTTCTCATGGTCTGTCTCTTCTCTTTCACTGCTTTTTTAAGATAATTTTTTAAATTTATCCTTAATTGCTTCTTGAAGATGGTGACATTTTTCCCCGAATAAATGAATGGTATGTGTTGCTACATACGTTTATTTGTTTCCCATGTATATGCACTTAGTTGCCTATTTGTATAGTAATACTTGTGACTCTTCTGTGACTCACAAATTTAACATTAGGAACACATCTGATCTATCAACCATCACTAGATTTTTTATTTTCATATTTAGAAAATGACTAAAATAAAAACCTATATGTGTAACAAAAGAGCAATAGTAATATGTTATTGTTAATAGTATTGGGGTTATAACATATCTATCAACCATCACTAGATTTTCATTTTTTATTTCTGCACAATTAGCTCTGTACCTTTTGATATTTTCATGCTTGATTTGTGTATTCTTGTTTCAACAGGGATGGAAAGGAGTTGCAATGTGGTCGATTTAATTTGTAGGATTGGAGTGTGCATGCTTTTGGTGATTAATAAATGAATTGGAGACCAATTCAATGCAGACAAAAGGTGTACAACAAGTTTCCTAACATAAAAATCTGAAAACTTTCTTAAAAGATGACATAGAACCCAGTCACACTATTGGAGGATGTTGCAGCAATCTTATTATTTTGGATCATTTTGACTATTTGGAAGGGCTTGAGAAGCTTAGCATTTCGATTTCCATTGGTTGCAATGCAGCCCATCCAGAACTTGATAGGTTTCCTTCAGGACTGAAGAAGTTGAAGTTGAGTGAGACTAATATTTCTGAGGGGGATTTAAATGTGATTGGCATGTTACCCCATCTTAAGGTGCTCAAGTTGGAAAATGCCTTCTATGGAACAGTATGGAAAATAGCTGATGGAGGATTTCGTGAATTAATATTCTTGCTCCTTGAAGCTAAAGAACTCAATAAGTGGGTACTTAGCTCCTGGTATAACATTTTTGCGCTCAGACACTTAGTCTTAAGATCATGTAATTGTTTGGAACAGATGCCAAAGCATTTTAAAGGTTATATGTTGGAGACAATTGAGTTGGAGGGATGTCACTCTTCCCTTGTCGCTTCTGTCAAGCGGTTAAAACGGATATAACGTTCCCAAAATCTTGTCTTTCATTTTTTATTTTTAGGCAGCCTCACAGTATATAACAGTTAGAAAATGGTATGTGTTTGGTTACAAGTATTGATGTGTATATAACAGTTAGAAACTAAAGAGTTACTCAGTCTTAATTTTTTATTTCTTTTCTATTTAATGCTGACTTTTTTTTTAATGATAAAATCAGTTATTACTAGTCCGTAAAAGATGTTTGAGTTTGGAAGTGTTTTCTACTAGCTTTGAAGAGATCATCCGATGTAATCAATTAAGGTAAAAACTTGCTCCCCTTATATTTGACTTCTGCCAATGAAATTAATGATGGATACAACCACATTGCTATTCACCATGCTCTGTCTCTTCTCTTTACCAAATCTGTTATCAGGCCATTAAGTTTGTAATTTCTATTAATCCCGAGTATTAATATGCATTGTATTCTTGAAATGGGTTGTAGAAAAATCATATTCTTTAAAGAGTTGAGGTTGCAAAATAATAATTATGCCTTTTCCCAACAGAGAATGAAAAGCTTTTTAATACCAGAGAAATTATATTAGACTGATGTTGCTTTGTATTTTAATTTTATAACTACTGACCCACATTCATCAACTACTAATTATATTATTGTATTCATAATTCAAAGGTCAAATAGGATTACTATTACTGTTAGGAAAAAATTCCTAATAAATGAACTATACATTCAATTTGTCAACAATTCGAAGTATGAAATAAAAAATGGAGAAGCTCCCAAAACTCACACCTCTTTGATGGAGCAATATACTGGGATTTGATACTTGATGGATGTGTAAAAAAATGTTCTTATCACTTATGGAGAAGGCTGCTGCATCCATTATGAATTGGACTTTTTGAGGTCAAAAGCTACATCATATCATGCTTCTGTTACAGGCAAGGGTGGATTGGATCTCGTCACCGGACGACGTACCGGGCTGGAGTGGCGAGCGGGAGGGGGAATGGATCCTCGACTTCTACCTATGATTACAGATGGAAGTACGAATAGCAAAAGAGAAACGAAGGCAAAGACAATTGTGAAGAAATCAGGAGTTCTTCTTCTTTCAAATAACATTAGCCAAAATTACATAAATTTCATGATGCCTTGATGTCTTGTAGCATCTTCCTTAAATACAAAAAGCAGCAATGGTCAAGAACCACAAAATTAGGAATGAATAAAACAAAACATATGAATAGGTAGTAAGAAAAGACTAATCTGAAATATTCCAACTAATCTGCGTTATTCCACTTGTTTCCATTTTATTAGCTTGAATCAATCCACTTTGGGAGCTTGTTTCTTGCGTCTTTGATATTGTCTGCGAGTGAATGTATCAACACCCCCTCCCCCCCCCCCCCCCCCCCAATTCATTAAGCTTGTCCTCAAGCTTGAAGTCAGGAAAAAGAAGTTGAAAGTTATCCAAGGCTTAGCTTCCAGGAAGCGTCCTCAGGTGCGGCGCCAGCCAATTGCACTAGGATTTCCTTCACACCACGGTTAAGTCGAGCGCGTAAGACATCCCCAGGGCGAACAAGAACGCGGCCATCACGCATGGGCGGGAGGTCCGGAGTGACTGTAGGAGGGGAGTCACGGAACTCTTTTAGCAAGGACACATGAAAAACGTCATGAGTGCGACTACCCACCGGAAGGGCTAATTGATACGCCATTGCGCCAATACGCTTCGTAATAAGAAAATGACCAAAATACTTCGGAGATAATTTGTGAAAAAGACACCGAGCAATGGAAAGCTGTCGGTACGGCCAGAGGCGAAGCCATACCCACTGGCCAACTGTATATTCCACATCCCTGTGTTTGCGATTATAAATTGTTGTCATGCGGTCCTGGGCGAGACGGAGGTGCTCACGAACGTCAGCCAAGAAGGCATCTCGATCCTGTAAGGCAACATCCACAGCTTCGACCTTAGACATTCCAGGTTCGTAGGACAACAGACTCGGAGGGTCACAACCGTAGACAGAACGAAAAGGCGAAGTGCGGAGCGCGGAGTGAAATGAAGAGTTGTAGTAATATTCGGCCCAAGGAAGCCAACCGAGCTATGTGCGGGGGAAATCCCCAACAAAGCATCGAATATACATCTCGATGGTGCGATTGGTTACCTCAGATTGTCCGTCCGTCTGCGGGTGATAAGCCGTCGAAAGTGCGAGTGTAGACCCACTCACGCGAAGCAACTCTTTCCAAAAATGACTCGTGAACGTCGGGTCCCGGTCACTGACAATTGACTCGGGCACGCCATGGAACTTGACGATATTCCCAAACAAAGCCGCAGCAACAGTCGTAGCAGTATAGGGATGACTGAGAGGAATGAAGTGGGCGTACTTGGATAACCGATCGACGACCGTTAAGATGACCGATTTGCCTTGGATCTTAGGCAGCCCTTCGATAAAATCCAAGGAAATGTCGGCCCAAATCAGCGTAGGAACTAGCAACAGTTGAAGAAGGCCAGCCGAGTGTAAATTGTCGCTTTTGCAGCGCTGACAAGTTGGACAGTTACGAACATAGTCACAGACATCCTTACGCATCCCTGCCCAAAAAAATTCCTGCGACAGGCAAAATAATGTTTTCTGCACTCCCTCGTGCGTAATGTCGTGCACGCCTGCAAGAATAAGAGGAATGAGGGCGAAATTACGAATTAAAAAAAAATCTTACCTTTGTAACGCAACAACCCGTTAACAAAAAGCGAATGCGGACCCTCCGAGCCATCACGAACACGTGTACCAAGGCTTGGAAATCAGGCGAAGTTTGAACCTCGTGTCGAATAGAGCTCAAAAGAGGAGAGACGGGGCCGGAAAGGAGCATTAGGGAAGGGGTACCCTCATCACGGCGTGATAAAGCATCCGCGACCGTATTAAGTCGGCCGGCGCGAAATTCAACTTCAAAGTCGTAGCCGGGTAGTTTACTGATCCAATGGTGTTGAGGTGAAGTTGTAAGTCGCTGCTGTAGAAAGAACTTCAAACTATAGTGGTCAGTGCGCACAATGAACTTTCGACCCCATAAGTAATGTCGCTAGTGTCGAATCGCATGTGACAAGCCAATCAGTTCCTGTTCATAGGCAACCAATTTATGATGGCGTGTTGCAAGCTTCCGACTAAAGAATGCCACCGGATGTTGATTCTGGTGTAATACGGCACCAATGCCCAGCCCCGAGGCATCGCATTCCACCACGAACAAGACCAAGAAATTGGGAAGCTGCAAAATGGGAGTAGAAGTTAACGCAAGTTTAAGGGAATGAAAAGCAGAAGTAGCCTCGTCGGTCCAAGTGAAGTTATTTTTTCGTAATAACGACGTTAACGGGGCTGCCATGACCCCAAAATCTTTGACGAACTTGCGGTAAAACCCCGCTAGCCCTAAGAACCCTCGCAAGGCTTTCACGGATTGCGGTTGGTGCCAATCAAGAACCGCTTTCACCTTGCATTGATCCATCGAGATGCCCGAGGCATCAATTATATGGCCAAGGTAGCTAACTTGCGTATCCCCAAAAGAGCATTTGAAACGCTTAAGAAGAAGTTAGTGCTGACGCAAGAGGTCAAAAACCTGTCGGACGTGTTGCAAATGCTCCACCCAAGACCTGCTAAAAACCAAAATATCATCAAAAATACAAAAACACATTTACGTAATAAATGGCTGAAAACATCATTCATAAGAGCTTGGAACGTCGAAGGGGCGTTGCAAAGTCCAAATGGCATTACGAGAAACTCGAAATGGCCATGGTGCGTGCGAAAAACTGTTTTGGTGACGTCATCGGAGTGCATGCGAATCTGGTGATACCCCGAGCGGAGGTCCAACTTTGTAAAGAACTTCGCACCATGCAACTCATCTAATAATTCCTCAATCACGGGAATGGGAAATTTGTCCTTAACCGTAATGGAGTTTAACTCACGGTAATCAATGCAAAATCGCCAAGTGCGATCCTGTTTGAGTACATGCAAGACCGGGGATGAGTAGGGGGATCGGCTCGGTCGTATAATTCCGAGAGAAAGCATCGCGGCACATTGTTTCTCAATTTCATCCTTTTGTGCTTGCGAATAGCGGTAAGGCCGGACAGCGACTGGGTTAGAACCATGAACCAACGTAATGCGATGGTCGCAATCCCGCTGCGGGGGCAGTGATGTGGGTTCCTGAAAAAGATTGGAAAAATCAGTTAATAAATGGTCAAGGGCATGAGTCAATGTTACCTGAGGCCGTAAAGCATGCAGGGACGTAAATGGTTGATCGTGTTCACCCTTCCACGTGAGACGCTGACCCTTATGAAAGAAGCTCATGGTTAAGGCATTAAAATCCCAAACTATAGCGCCTAGTGTAGGGAGCCAATTAACCCCTAACACTAACTCAAACCCAGAAAGGGGAATTACATATAAAATAACAGTAAATAAGTGCCCATCTTTACATAGTAACACATTTTCAGAAATGCCCGACCCAATTATCCGTTCGCCATTAGCAACCGCAACTTGTAGACACAGGCACTCTCGTATTACCAATCCCAGGGATGTGGCGATGTCCTGGTCAATAAAATTGTGAGTGCTTCCTGAATCAATTAAAGCGGTGACAGGCTTGCAATTCACACTTATAGCCACGCGCATAGTACTGCCACTAGTGGACCCTGTGAGGGCATTTAAAGAGATGCTAGGGTTATCAACCACTTCAGAATCCCAGGCCTCCTGCACAACATCGGGAAAATCATGTTGTTCCACTACATCGTTGATCACTAACAAAAATATGCGCTTTCAATTATGCGCAGGAGTCCACCGTTCGTCGCAATGGAAACACAAATTATTGGCGCGACGCTGATTGTAGTTCGATCTGGACAGACGCCGTTCAGGAGGAGGGAAGGGAGCAGAGGCACGCATGGGCGGCCGGTATGGACTGATGGTGGAGCGGCTGCCGGCGGAGGAAGCAGGGGCCGCTGCAGAATGGGTCGCGGACGCCAGAACACTTGGCCGTGACGAAGACGCCGGAGCACCTGTGGTCGGACGTGACGCCGTACCTGAAAAAGAAGAAAGATTCCGGTTAAAGGCCGCAGGGCGGTGAAAGGTCGGAGGGCGGCCGGAAACCATGGCAGTCCCTGGCGGAATGCACTCCAGTCGCCGGAAAAACGAACGGGCGACGTTCAGATTCGCCGGTCGCTGGTTTTCGACGTCGATGCGGAGCCATTCGTCGAGCCCAGCGGTGTAGAGGTCGACCTCCATGTCCCGTCGGATAGTAGTCGTGCGCAGGAGCATCGTTTGGAACTCGTCGTTGTATTCCTCGACGTGTCGGCCATCCTGGTTGAGTTTTGCCAGAGAGCCCAGGACGTTGCTACGGAGGCCTGGACCGAAACGTAAGATAAGCTGGTATTTGAACTGCTGCCAGCTCGGGTCCGGTTTCTCCATGTCTTGCCGAAAGTGCCATAACTGCGCGATTCCCGTGAGGTGAAAGGCCGCCGTGCTCACGAACTCGTGAGGCGGGGTCCCCTGCGTTTTGAAGAATTGCTCGCAGTGGTGGAGCCAGCTGGTGGGGTCATCCCGACCGTCATAACAAGGGAACTCGAGCCGGGTGAATTTAGGGACCGTCGTTGGAGAAGCAGGGGGACGCGGTTGCGGGCACGCCTGAGGTGGTGGGGTGTTGTCCTCGTCCGTGTGCGTGCGACTGCTAGAGGCCTCAGCAGGCCCTTTCGCCGCCAAGAACTGGTGGAACATTTGTTGCAGAGAGGCCTGGTTGTCCTTCAAGGATCCAATGGCAGTCTTGAGGTCGAGAACCTCGTCGTGCAACGTGGTCTGGAGCTAGTGAACCTCCGCGCGTAGAGTCGTGACTGACTCAGCTAGAGATTGGTCGCCCATGACGGATGGCTCCGATACCAAATCTGTTACAGGCAAGGGTGGATGGGATCTCGTAACCGGACGACGTACCGGGCTGGAGTGGCGAGCGGGAGGGGGAATGGATCCTCAACTTCTACCTATGATTATAGATGGAAGTAGGAATAGCAAAAGAGAAACGAAGGCAAAGACAATTGTGAAGAAATCAGGAGTTCTTCTTTTTTTTTTTTGAAAACCTCAGGAGTTCTTCTTCTTTCAAATAACATTAGCCAAAATTACATAAATTCCATGATGCCTTGATGTCCTGTAGCATCTTCCTTAAATACAAAAAGCAGCAACGGTCAAGAACCACAAAATTAGGAATGAATAAAACAAAACATAAGAATAGGTAGTAGGAAAAAACTAATCTAAAATATTTCAACTAATCTGAATTATTCCACTTGTTTCCATTTTATTAGCTTGAATCAATCCACTTTGGTAGCTTGTTTCTTGCGTCTTTGATATTGTCTGTCAGTGAATGTATCAGCTTCATTCATAATTTTTTTTTTCTTATACATTCTTTACAAAAGCTACTATATACTCTTTCTTTTTTCTGATCTCATTTTGTTCTCTCCATTTTCCGTAGATAAAAACCGATGGGCTTGAATAAGAGGAATCACCTTATCCACATGTAGAAGAGGATTTGGCCTACATCACAGATACATATCTCATGTCTGCCAATTATTTCCAACATACTTTACGATCTATTAGAAAACATGACTAGTTTTCAGGTTTCTTTTTCAAAATAATGCATTTGATATTGTTTGACAGCCAAATGCATGTTTCTCATTCGCCATTAAGGATAAACTTCCTCAATCCCACATAATTGAGAGTTGTGGCTTCCTGTCAAATGGACAATGGTCAGTTTTTCCTCGCCTGAGATAGATGCATGTTGGTCATTTATGATG